GCCGCTAGCTTCGCCACTTGAGTGTTTTTCCCTGCTACAACCCTCAATGCCACGGCCACAGGTAAGTACCGGCCCTACGGGCCTACCAAACAAGCCAGTACCCTTGCGGGTCACACACACGGATCATTACATAAAAAACAAAAAAGGACTCAGTACTGATGTTAATTTCACAGATCCTTACATCATTTGAAATGGAACGGGAGTGAGGCCCCATGGCATTCCTTCCATACAACCATCGAGAAACCACACACAATCACAAGCAGTCAACACAGCGGGCCCTATTGAATCAAGCCAACCTCTCGATGAACTGCATAACATGGCCGCATCCATAAACCCATGAGCTGGGTGTCTTGAGATGCCATGCCTCCGCCCCCCCCCCCCCCCCCCCCAAAAAAAAAAAAAAAAAAAAAAAAGAGGCAGATGACATGCCATGCACAAGACGTTACAGTTGAGAGTTTTGAGCATTGAGGTCTGAAACAGCAGCAATACATTGGGCCTGCCTCCACTACTTTCCACATGCACAGAAGACAAAAACTATGGCAATGTATCTTTCCATGTTCTAGGCGAGGATACAGTTTCATTTTGCACATTTCCAGAGCAGTGGAGGGAGGCCCATTCTTGGCATCCCCTATCTGGTTTGTTTGTTTGTTTGTTTCTTGTATTATCAGGTTTGTACTTCATCGGTTGGTCGGAACTATGGGCCTCGCTCCACCAGTCTCGAAATGTGCAAAACGAGAGTGAATCCTTCGCTATAACATGGAAAGATGCGCTGGCAGGAATTGTGTCCTTTGTGCATGTCGAGAGTAATAGAGCGAGGCCCTATGAGGCTCGCCACGCAGGCTGTCGAAACTCAAAGAGTTTTGACAGCTGTCAAAAAAAAATTGAAAGTCGGTGGTCAACAGTTTACCCCCCCGTCACCACACAGGCCGTCGAGGGGCAACAGGGTTTTTGGTCATGGCCAGGCGGAATCCGCCTTTCGACAGGGCACGGGTGTCACGGAACAGTCCCTGACAATGCAGTGCAAATTCGAATTCGAACGCAATTCTCGAAAGGTCGGAGGCGGACCACTGTCGAATTTCCGTCACCTGCAGGCGGGGGGAAACGATGGCTGGAGGGCGGCTGTCGGAAGTACCATTCTGACACCTGTTCACATTTTTTTGAGCCGCAATTCTTCAAAAGTCTGTGTGGCGATGCAAAATTGTCGAAAACCTGGTTTTCGACAGCCAACTGGCCTAGAGCACAGTTGGTACACCCCTGAGCCGTTGAAACTTGAAATACAGACCTGAGCTCGAACTCCACTGGAAGCAGATGAGCCAAATATATACTGCAATTCATTCCAGATTACTTAAGGGCCAGTCAGTTCCAATGATCCTATCTCAAGGCCATTGCCCTTTCTTAAAAAAAAGGGTAACTACGCGGGAGTCACAAAAACAGTTTGAAATTACACGTCAGCGTCGTCAGGCCAAAACGAGTTTCGAATTTGCACTCCGGCCAATATACCAGACCGGAAAGCTGGCTTGTATACGTTGCCCGGAGTGCAATTTGAAACTCATTTTGGCCCGAAGCATGAATTTTAAACTGTTTTTGTGACTCCCGCGTTGTTACCCCTAAAAAGAAGAAAGGAACTATTTTGCACCAGCAGACATGACGACCACCTTCAGCGCCATACGATCTTGTGGCTGCAGCTGCCTCGTTTTTTTTTTGTTTTTTTTTTTTTGTTTTTTTTTTTTTTTTTTTTTTTTTTTTTTTTTTTTTTTTTTTTTTTTTTTTTCTTTTTCTTTTTCTTT